GCTTACCAGACATTTTGTTTTCGATGAAAAATTCACCCGTTCTCATTGGTGGATACTGAGAACTGTTTCTCGTTTATGAATGAATGTGATTTCATGCTCCCTTATTGGCCAAGACTGGGAACAGTTCTCAGAGCGACAAAACATTCTCAGTTTCCAGTTGAAAAGTGCATTTTCCACTTTGACATACAAGTATACATAAAATATACATGATGTAATATACTACGTGTATAAATGTTGTATACTAAAAATATACTCTTGTATGTGGAAGGACATTAGTGATTTAAATACAGCCACTGATGAATTTTAAAACTTTTTTACTTGCTTAATATCCCTGCAAGATCTTGCTTTTCCCTTAACAAAATTTAGAACAGCTTGAGGTATACTATTAGTATAACACATGGGGGAACAGTATACAGTTCGTACAGCCAATATACTCCAAGGAAGTGTATACTTATGGTATACACTGTACATATACAAAAAGTATACTTCTTGTAGAATTTGTTTTCTCACCTTGTGCACACAAAGTATACTTTTTGTATACATTGTGGTATGAAACATTCTAAGTTACAAAGAAAAATCTGATGTTCATAATTTACACTGACTCTCAAGGTGAAGAGGCACGGTAGCCTCATGGTTAGTGTGCTCGTCTCTGGATCGAGTAGTCCGGGTTCGAACCCTGGCCGGGGACATTGTGTCATGTTCTTGGGCAAGACACTTTCCTCTCACAGTGCCTTTCTCCACCCAGGTGTATAAATGGGTACCGGTGAATTTAATGCTGGGGGTAACCCTGCAATGGACTAGCATCCCATTCAGGGGGCAGTAGAAATACTCCCAGTCGCTTCATGCTAAGGAAACTGGGATAAGCTCCAGCCTGGTGGGCCACTTGGCTCGTATGCAGACTTTTTTCAAGGTGAAGAATTAATAAATTATTTGCAATGCGGGATCTTTCTTTTTTCGTAATCAAAATTCTACAACATGCATTGACTGTAACGTTAACAATAATTTACAAGACTTTTGTTTCTTTTTTGAGCCATTGAGTTTTCTGGCAATTTTTTTGATGTTTCTCTGAAATGAAGTTCTCACAACATTCTGATAATTAGTCCTGGGTTTGTTATCTGAATAACATGGTATCTAGTAATAGGTTTCACAGTTTTAATTCTTTCCAGATTTTTGTGATTCCAGTCCACTTAGCCTATTGCACAAGGCAATCTTAATGGCTGATGGGGATGGGCAGGTATTTGCCTTTTCTCTCATAACCAAACCTGCAAGAGTTAATTTAGACAGTGTATTTCAATAATAGATTAATTGTACTAAAATAACTGACAATTACACAACTTTCTCCTTCTCTCTTGTTGACAAGTCCTGATGCAAACACTCAAGAAAATTGAAATGATTCAAAAGTCTGCCTCTGGTTATGTGTACATGTATGTATAAACACATGCTGTTTTTTACTTTCTTACATGTAAATATCATTTCTGTCTTTGTCTTAATTGACATACATGTACAAACCTATTTTAAAGAACAGAAAAACGACACTACTTAAATACCTATGATGCTTTCAAGGATATCTTTGTGAGGGTGGGGCTTGCCATTGGCACCTGTCAGGTTCATTCCTAGCAGTTTGCCATTAGTGTAGAAGTAGTTAAGCAAGTATGAGGCAACTGATTTAAACGATGGTTTAGAAACAGCTTGTTGAATCAGGTGGTGATAGATGTACATGTACAGTTGAAATCTAGGAGTCAACTCAACCATTTGTGGACTGAATTAACAAGATTATGCAAGGCTGAATTAATCACAGTACTGTAGTGAAATAGTAGTCACAGTCAAACCATGTTAAACTTTCTTTCCCATTATGTTTATTTTTGTGGTGTGTACACATTTTCATATTTGATACAATCGCCACCACATATATAATCAATTGCTACTACATTGCTACTACAATTGCCAATATATTGAACATACTGGAAATCATTCAGTTTTAGACATTCAACTTGGCAACAAGTCAGCTGTTATTGTCCAAAAATATGCTGAATTGTTCGCTTTGATGATAAAAGAATGAAACTTTGCCAGATAACTACCATCCCTGAAACCAACATTTTCTGATATGGAGCTAGCTAAAATTCGCTAGTGGTGCTGAGTACTGCGCATACATTAAAAATTGTCAACATGGAAACGAGGCTGAAAATAAAACCCTTTAAAAATGCCATTTTTATGGTGACTTTGTACATTTAACCTTCCTATGTTGATAAAGGAGTCATAATCTTTGTTCTAAAACTTAAAATGGTGTCACGTGACCCTCTTACTGGAAACTGATATGGTAGTGAGCGGGATACAATACCTGCAGCTACAGCTTCCAGTTAAAGGAATTTAGTGCTTTAGAGTTGAAATTGATCGCTTTTTCATTACTTTTGTTTCTGTTTGTTTTTGAAGTACAAAATAAGTGTAAAAACTACAAATTCTACTTGAGTAAATATCAATACATGTCTTTAAACAATGCTGCATGAAAACGAGGCTGACAGGAAACAAGGGAAGCAGTCAAAGGGACCAATTCTCTGGTCCAGTGAAACTAAATATTAATTTGACAAGAACAAGATTTCAACAAATACATTGTACTCTGAATGAAAACCTGATGCACTGCTTTCATTAATAGAAATGAGACATAAAAACACACACAAACCACTGTTAAAACCAGTTATTTTTTTTGCTCTCTGTTTGCTTGATTTGGTATTTACAAAAGTTTTTCTGATTAAATAATCACTCCAGTATTGACCGCTTTTGACAATAATTTATTGCTTACTGATCTGATTCCTCTGTTAAGTATTAGAAGTGCTAAAAATTTTGTCTTTAAAGGGCAGTCCTAGTTGTAGTTGCCCATACAGTTGCACAGACCTGTGCACCTAGGGCAGCATACTGTGCCTCAAAATCTTCTTTGCCATGTCATCAGCCTGCCATCAATTCGTTCCTGTTGATATCTTTTGAAAATACTCATTCGTTGGCTGTGGTAGCTCATTCCAGGAAAATGATCAAGTCTGCTGTCGAGTACATCAACCCCTCTCAAATTCCAGTATTTGCTTTAGACCAGCCGCTGTTTGCCTTAGCCAAACAAATTCAGTGGACACTGGATGAAATGTATAATGAAGATCAATGTCGTCATGCTTGGTGGACTCCATATTGAAATGGCAGCCTTCAAAATGCTTGGTAAGTACTTGAGCTGTAGTGGCTGGGCAGAGGTTCTTTGCAATGCAGAAGTCATTACACAAGGCGTGGCTGATTCATTCCTTCGGGTAAGTCATCTAACTCGAACACGGCGGACACTTCAAGTGACCGCAGCCAGTTTTTGTGCTGGGCTGGTGTACTAGATTCGCAACTCTGTTGTCTTCACCATGTGAGAGCTTTGAGAGAAGCAAACTTTTCCATGTATGTCAAAGCCATAAAGCAGATTTTACCATGGTTCTTTGCACTGCATCATGCCAACTACGCCAGATGGCTCTCTGTACACTACCGAGACGTGTGAGCTTCCAGGGAAGCATCCAGATGTGCATACACAGTTCTGCAATGGCTCGTTTGTAGTTCAGAAGACAAAGAAATGCTTTTCTTCTATGGCGCTGGATCGTGGTCATGAACAGGTAAATGCTGGGGTCAAAGAAGAAGGAGGTGCCGTGGGACTCGCAGAAAACCCTACAGCACTAAGAAGATGGATGGTCACAGGTCTTGAATTAGCTCGAATGGTAGAAGAGTTTAGAGGCAACATACACCGTATCTTCTGCTGAGGATCATCACCACAACGAACAGAAACATGGCTTCTAGAGTTACTACTACTACTTAGCTTCTTTGTGCCATGGCTTCTAGAGTGCATTTGCTAAAGATGTAAAAAGTCTTATTTCCTCTTTTGAAGAAATGGGATACCCATTCACAGAAGACGATCCTGAGTTATTTGCAATCCACACGAAGGATGTCATGGATGTGGCTGTTGTTAACTCCGTGCAGACTGTGTCAAAGATTGGAGAGGAACTATTCAAAAACTTTGCCAAGGAGCGATTCGATGAGAGAAGCAAATTTATTACAGATCCTCTAAAAAAGCGAACCTACCTACATTCATCACTCAAGGCAGGAAGATCCTTTCAAAAGACAAAGCCGAAGCAGAAATTTTAAAGGAAGATCATGCGCTTTTTGCTAGATTGTACACAGCTTGCCAAAGCCAAGATGGCAATCTGGAAGAGTTCTTCAAGTATGAGAGCCAGCCATGGCCTCCATCCATTTTCCAAATGGACAATCGCGGAGGGGGACAGAAGGCAGATCTGGGGAAGTGCTTGCCCGATCCCCCAACAGAGATCACAGAGAGCGCAGTCGTGGATGCAGTCATTCTAGATTGCACCAGTATCGTTCAGATGTTACCCCCAAATCAACGCGTACCTTCGACGAGTACTTCGATGCTATATTTACACCTTATGTACTGAAACAGCTGGAATCTGTAGGCAGAGTTGATCTTGTGTGGGATGTGTATGTTGCGGACTCGTTCAAGCGATCTGAGCGGGAAAAGAGCGGCTGACTGGCGCTTCCGTCAACTCAAATCTCCTATGACTGGAAAGGGTTCCTGAGAGTGGACAAAAACAAAGATGAGCTGTTTAAGCTTCTTACAAACAAGGTAACAACAGTGACTACATGTATGATGTGTACTACAATTTCTTCAGTTGAAGCGTCAAATAATTGCAATCTCTTTAAAAGTTACAGTAACAATAACAAGAACAAGAACAGTAATAGTGACAGTGACAGTGACAGTGTCAATGACAGTGACAGTAAAAGTAATAGCAATAATAAAAGCAAATATGGATGGATAATAATTTAGTGGTAGCTATTCTTGTTTCTAGGTGGTTACCCTGACAATTCCTGATGGAAAGGAAATCTATATCACGCATGGTGACGGTGTCTTGTCAACAACCAACAGAATTGAATGGAACTACCTGTCCTACAACCTTGGCTTGAAGAGGCAGGCACTCGCTTGATGGTTCATGCATTAGACGCCAGCCTGTCAGGTCATAAGCGGAAAAAGATCTGGGCCCGGTTGTTCGGAAGCCGATTAACGCTAATCCAAGATTAAAAGTTAATCAGAGTTCTAATTTCTCTTGAATAAAAGTGTTTTCACTGTCCATGTTTCCTGGAGTTTGACATTAGTCAAAGCCAAAATTGAAGGACAAAAAATCTAAACAGAAACCTTCACTGAAAAGTTACAAAATTGAAGTAAAAATTTACGCTCTTCAGTCCTCATCGCACCATCGGACGCATAAGGCCTTTACCGTCTCTCTCCAGCGTGAACGATCTTGTGCCACCTTCCAGATTTCACTCCAGGTCAGGTATATGGTCTCGGGTTCTTTTTCCGTTGACCTCCTTCAGGTTGTTCTAAGACTTCCTCGTTGTCTTATCCCTTCTGGTGTCCAGAATAGACCTTTAATAATGTCGCTGGGGTCTATTCGAACATCGCTCTGACATTCCAGCAGCCAATTCTGGTTATGAATTTAGGTCCCAGAAAAGAGGGGGGTTTCAGCTCAGGGAGCGTGATACTACCATCCGAGGAGTGGTCCTCTTTCCAGCAACCAGTCGTCTTGCACTGTAAATTTCCTGTGTCGGTTTCTGTAGTCACTCATTAGTCTGAGGGCGTGACTAGCCCTCTACAGGCTTGCCAGAGCCCCTATCAGCCAGTTTGTTCAGGGTTCCTGCCAGGCCTTCACAGCTACCGCAGCGACCCCGGGACCTAAGTCCCACTGTGCTTCACCCTGACAGGCAGTGCCCTACTCCGCTGTTGCCCACCTCCCACGAGCGAGGACATTAGGGATTGGTCTGTGGGAGGCAACAGGATGCGATACAGAGTTATGTTTTCGCTGGACGAGTGAAAAAGAGCGCAGGAAGTGTGGAAAGGGTTTCTTGAAATAACACCAGCTCTCAGAGCACTGACAGCGTCACTCAAAGATATTAGTGAGGAACACATGGCAGTAATTTAGAGGTTTGTGATTCTTCTTTATAACAGAACAAGCAGCCGGACAAGCGTCAACTAAGCAAGGCAAGAGCTGTTGTCAAAAAAGTCAAGAAGCCTTGACAGCATTTCTTCAACCAGAGCGGTACTTGCTAATCATGCTAAGAGGGCAGTGTTTCAAGGTGGATTTGTCTGGCCGCAGACCCTTCTGAAGGAGCCAGTATTACCATGTCCTCCTCAGTGGGGATGGCATCGTGAAGGTAGTGTCTAGGTTCCTCACTGGACAACTCTCCAACAAGCGAAAGATTCATGTTATGAACTCATCCACTTTGGATGTAAAACGGTGTGTAGAGGGCGTTGTAAGTGTGTTAAAGCAAATTTGGTATGCCCAGGTCTGTGCAATTGTGGGGGGCTACTGCAACTAGGACTGCCCTTTAGTAAAAAATAACACATAATACTTTACAGAGGAAACAGATCAGTAAGCAATAAATCATTGTCAAAAATGGAGAATACTGGAGTGATTACTCAATTAGGAAAACCTTTTTAACAACCAAATCAAGCAAACAGAGTAGAAAAAATAAATGGTTTTAACAGTGGTTTGTACGTTCTTTATGTCACATTTCTATTATTGAAAGCAGAACATCTGGTTTTCATTCATAGTACAATGTTTTTGATGAAATCTTTTTCTTGTCAAATTAATATTTAGTTTCACTGGACCAGGGAATTGGTCCCTTCGACTGTTGTTTTCCTTGTTTCCCGTTAGCCTCGTTTTCATGCGGCACTGTTTTAAGACATGTATTTATATCTACCAGAGTAGAATTTGTAGTTTTTAGACTTATTTTGCCTTGTTTCGGTTTTTTCTGGAATCGGTGTATTGTGGAACTTTAGGGGAGGGGTCCGGGGACAGAGATTTTCCTTGAGACACTTGTATGGTCTAATATCAATCACATTTTTGAAATGAAGCATTCAGCAAAGTGATCAGGCCATGACTGACGAAGAATACTTTTTATGGTCAAACAAATTCAATAATATTAGTGTATCCTTGCCTGCAGAACAGGCGTAATTTTTTTGCGTATTCTAGGCGAACAGAGGCGAAAGCGAGGCGAGCACGAACCGTGAGACCCGCGTGAGGGGAGTAGCGCGAAAAAAAATAACGCCTGTACACATACCATTGTTCAAGCTGTTCCGGCCCAGACACACTCTAAATGACCAGCCAATCACAGCATTACTAAAACAGTGGTGAT